TAGCGTACCTCCTCTTGGACAGCTCCCAGGCAAACTCCCGCTGTTAGCCTCTGCTGTTCACCGCTCATATTGGGCTGCATTAGTAGGAGCATTGCCAGCAGATCGAGGGAAGTGATTTTTTCCCTCTTTGGCACTGGTGAGGCCACATCTGGAGTATTGCATTCAGTTATGGGCCCCCCATTACAGAAATTGGCGAGAGTCCAGCAGAGGGCAATGGAAATGATCAGGGGGCTGGGGCACATGACTTAAAGGAGAGGCTGAGGGAAATGGGCTTCTTCTGTCTGCAGAAGAGTGTGTGGGGGGATTTGATAGCAGCCTTCAACTACCTGAAAGGCTGAGGGAAATGGGCTTCTTCTGTCTGCAGAAGAGAAGAGTGTGTGGGGGGGATTTGATAGCAGCCTTCAACTACCTGAAAGGTGTGTGTGGGGGGGGAGTTCCAAAGAGGATGGAACTCAGCTGTTCTCAGTGGTGGCAGATGACAGAACAAGGAGCAATGATCTCAAGTTGCAGTGTGGGAGGTCTAGGTTGGATATTAGGAAACACTATTTTACTAGGAGGATGGTGAAGCACTGGAATGGGTTACCTAGGGAAGTGGTGGAATCTCCATCCTTAGAGGTTTTTAAGGCCTGGCTTGAGAAGGCCCTGGCTGGGGTGATTTAGTTTGGTGTTGGTCCTGCTTTGAGCAGGGGGTTGGACAAGATGATCTCCTGAGGTCTCTTCCAACCCTAATCTTCTATGATTACTTTATGTTAGCTGCTTGTGTGGTAGCATACCTAGTTTGATCAGTTTATCATGCACTAAATGCAGTGTGTCTTGTCTACACTAATATATAAAACATGTTAGTAACGTGTATTAGCTAATGTACTAATATCACCCTTTAAATCCTAGCCTATAGGTGTGTATGTGTGTGTGCATGCTGTAGTGGGAAAAATGCATTTTAGTTATGGGTGTATGGGAACAGAGAATAACATGTAATGGATGGGAGTGAGAAAAGAAGGATTGACCAGGAAGTTAGACAACAGAGGATGAAAGAGATGTTGGAGGTGAAGTGAGACTAAAAACACATAGCAGATAAGGGAGGAAAGGGAAGGAATAGGAAGGAGGGAGACAGAAGGAATTCTGGGAAAATTATATATTATTGAAGAAACTTGAGGGCAAACCAAAGTAAGGGATGATAAGATGCATTAAATTGTATAGTTAATATAGAGAAAAAAATAGGGAAATGAGGGAAAAGACAAAGACAAGGAAGAGCAACTCTAAAGGAGATATTTTTTATAAAAACTATTACTTAAGAGAAATCGTAACTGCAAAATGTTAAATACATAATTTTAAAAGTAAGACCTGGGATGGGCTAGTATAGCTAGATGGGCAAAAGCGGAAGTCTGAGGATAGATGTATTGGGTAAGGAATGAAAAGGGTGCAACTCTTGGAGAAGTTAACCTAGGATAGGAAAATGCCTAGAACTGGGCTTGGCAATCCATATCAACAAGAGAAGTTAAGCAATCAGTTAAAACAAATCAATTTTCAGGCTGCCAAAGATTATGACTCCTTGGCAGAAATCTCCCCAGAAGCTCACACTACTACTTCCTCAGAATCATGGAGAAGCTTCCAAAGGGGAGATACCATCAGGTGCTTGCTCTTCATCTGTACAATTCTCAATGTAAAAGGACTCATACAGCTTCCTTATCTACTGGAAAAGGTAAAGGGACCTACTCTTGATTAAATCAATGGCAAAGATCCTATTGACTTCAACATGAACATGATCAGACCATCAATAGAAATGCAATCCTGCTCAAATTAAACTCAATGAGAGCTTTGTTACATATTTCATTGAGAGTAGGATTAGTCACTAGTGGTCAAATTTTCAAAAGAGATCAGCTCCCATTTAGGATAAATCTACACTGCGACAGGAGGTGTGATTGCAGCTCATGTAGGCATACCAGTACTAGCTGTAATCTAGCTGGTGTGGCTAAATATGACAGTAAAGATACAGCAGCATGGGTTTCAACATGGGCTGTACAAGCCTGGAGGGAACCCTGGTTACAAACTCATGTTTCTAGCTCATGCCACCATGTCTTCACTGCTATTTTTAGTGAGCTACCTAGATTAAAGCTTGCATGGCTTTGTCTACACAAGGAGCAAATCACTTCTCTAACTGCAGTATAGATCAGGGATCGGCAACCTTTGGCACGCGGCTCGCCAGGGTAAGCACTCTGGTGGGTGGGGCTGGTTTGTTTACCTGCCGCGTCTGCAGATTCGGCTGATTGCGGCTCCCACTAGTCGCGATTCGCTGTCCCAGGCCAAAGGGGGCTGCGGGAAGCGACGTGGGCTGAGGGATGTGCGGGCCACCGCTTCTCGCTGCCCCCATTGGCCTGGAGCGGCAAACCGTGGCCAGTGGGAGCCACAATTGGCCGAACCTGCGGACGCAGCAGGTAAACAAACCGGCCCGGCCTGCCAGGGTGCTTACCCTGGCCAGCCGTGTGCCAAAGGTTGCCAATTCCTGGTATAGACATAACCTAAGATACCTATATAAGGGCTAGATCATCAACCATGCACTGAGCTCTTTTGCAAATTCTGACCCGCATAGCAAACCAAATACACATGTTCTATTCTATATAGGTTCCACACTACTCACATCAACAATAGTATCTGAGAACCTTCCAGTAGTGAATTAAGCAACGTGACTAACATCTGTCATTTGCTGTTTTTTCATTCATTGTCTCTCCAAGGGGAGAAGCATGTGGAGTGGCGTGTCCTGTTTTGGTAGGGTTCTTTTGTTGGGTTTGGGGTTTTGGGGGGAGGGGGTTGTTTGTATAAATATACATATTTCTATGTATTTATTAGAGAAAGCAAGCTCAAAGAAATGTGCCTTGTACTTACAGCAGAAAGTGGTGAGGTTTGTGATGGTCCTTAATTCCTGGGGAGTTCATTCCACAGACTCGGACTGGCCCTCAAGAAAGTTCTCTCTCCCACACAGACAAGCTTCAGCCTTCTTGAGGAGAGTTCCATTATGCCAGGGGACCATAGCTGTTATGCATAAAGCTTACAGCTGTGACATAGACTTTGAATAAAAACCCATTTAATTATGTGCTAGGAACAATCTCTCTCTCTCTCTCTCTCTCTCTCTCTCTCTCTCTCTCTC